CGACTTGGCACCGGCAGGCGTCACGTGCCGTCTACACACGGAGAACCCCCCAGGCAGCAGCATCTGATCTAAACGGTGACTCCAGCTCTGGCTGCTCCCATCTCCTCCACTTTTCAGACCTTGTAAAGGAAGTAATGTGCAGATAATAAATCCTCCTTCGACGCTTCATGCTGTGTTCTGTATCCTTCGGTTTGTTTAAAAGACGAAGGGGTGCTAAACACAGTTCCCTGTAACACCTACGGTCTTTTACATTTCGCCATCTGTTTGTCACGCACTCACACAAATGTTGCACCGGTCTGAGACCTGGCAACTCTCGGTAGTCCTGTTTCTTGACTTCTCTGGGGAGGTAGTATTACAAAGCAAATTGTGTCTGCAAGATTCGTTTGAGGCAACCTTTAAAAACTAGAAATACTTAAGCATGAGGGTGTGTGTGGCAGAAGTTACTTGGACATTTAGATCAAGCTGTGCCGTAGTCCAATATATAGACACTCTCAAAACCTATACTTAAAATTCACAAATCCCAGTGAGCTGGGGATGTGGGCCAGGAGCAGAGTACCTGCCTAGCTCAGACGAGGCCCTGGGTTTGAGTCCCAGCACCCAAAATTAATTAAGTAAAAAATTCTGGGCGTGGGATTTAGCTCAGTGGTTTAGTGGCCTGCCTTGCAAGCGGCAAGGACCTGAGTTCAATCCCCAGTACCCCCCAAAAAAAATTCAAGCCAGGCGCTGTAGCACACGTGTACTTCCAGCTACTCAGGAGGCTGAGGATGGACAGTTCAAGGATAACCTGGGCAACTTACTGAATCTCTGGCTCCACAAGAAAAAGAAAGAAGGAAAGGGCTGGGATGTAGCAAAGTGGCGGCGGGGTGCTTGCCTAGCTTGTGTGTGCGGCCCTGCGTTCAATCTCCATCACCTCCGCCCTGTGCAGAAAGCTCTAGAATTCAGTTCTTTTCCACTGAACCTTCAGGTTCATTCTACAGAGAGACAGGAGTGATGAGTGAATCTCTGTGCCCTCCAATTTTGAACAGTTTTGCAGGGTTGTGGTGGCACACGCCTATGACTCCAGCATGGGAGGCTGAGGCAGAAGGAGTGCCACAAGTTCGAGGCCAGCCTGGGCTGCATAGTGAGTTCAAGGCCCGCCTGAACACAGTTTTGTGTGACAGGCTTCTCTTAGGGAGGGGGGATTTATCAGGTCCCCTGGTTTCTTCCCTTATTTTCATCTTTTTCCCATTTAGTACTTCATGCCTTGCCTATCTGACACCATCTGCGCTGGCTCTTTCCCTAAGCAAAGAGAGAGGTTTTAATGTTGCTCTTTTCAGACCCTGAAGACCTTGTTCATTGCTTCTTGAGCCAGGAGGGTGGGGCCCTCAAGGTCGGCTCAGCGATGACCCTCAGGAAGCTGAAGCCCAGAAGGCGGGCAGGCACAACGCAGTTGCTCCTTCTGGCCACCAGGGGGCGCTATGCACCACATTCAGACCCAGAATGAGCAAAGTGGGGGCTCCTTCCTGGCCTGGCAGTCAGACCTAGTTATAAAACTCAGCTCCAGTCTGGCCAAATGCTACTTGGCTTTGTCTTTTATTCCAGCAAACTCCAGCCTAGCTATAAGTCTAAGTTGGTATAAAGAGCGATGGGCCTCTGTCTCGATTCCCAGGTGGAGCCATTTAGCAGCTCCCTAAGCTTTCATCCTCCGGGAGGGTTAACTCCAGCTCACAGATTGCTTCAGTTACGCTGGAGACCTGTGTGTGGAATGCTGCTGGGTGCTCTGTCCTTCTAGAGGCCCTGCAGGTGAGCAGGCAGGGCGGCTTGTCCATTACTCTGGACCCCAGGCTTCTAGGGTGCTGCCCATGGAGGCCCGGGACTACGGTGCTTCTGGAGGTGGCACTAGTGGTGTACATTCTGTGAGCCCCTTTCCTGGGGGACCGGGGGTCTCAGAGCTGCTACATCACTTCTCAGCACCCACTGTGGGGCCAGCACGCAGCCAGCGTTTGTGCCGCTTCTGAAAATACCCAGGTTCCGCTTCCCAGTGCGTCTGTGGATTCTGGCCCTGCCAGACTGTCTCACCAACACCTTTCCTCTCTGCGTCCGAATTCTAGCAGCTATTCCACTGAACCGGATGGGAAAACATTTCACAGCATTTTTCTTTGGTGGGGGGCGGGGATTGAACTCAGGACCTTGCCTTCGTGAGGCAGGACCCTGACCACTGAGGCAGGCCACTGAGCTAAAGCCCACACTGCTATCCATTTAAAAAGGTAAATGAGTTGCTTTTCAATTTTGCCACCTGGAGTTTTTTTTTCTTTTCTTTTCTTTTTATAGCACTGGTGATGACACGCACACATCTGATTTGAGATTCTGCAAGAGGCAGTTAAAACCGCAGGGCAGGGCAGTAGATTATGCAGCAATCTGCTGGCGCCCTTGAAAGATAGCTCTGCTTTGATCTCCACCGTGGATGAGGACAGTAAACCCTGCCAGGGGGCTGGCGTGGCTGCCCAGTGAGCCCCTCTCGTCTGCAGCTCCAAAGAAAAGTCATCAATCAGGGACAACACAGAAGGAAAGGTCAGACATGAGGTCTGCGTGCAAGGCGGGCAGCTTTCCTTTCTTACCACTTGCATTCTGTTTTCATTAAACCGGATTTTTTGTTGTTTTGTTTTGTTTTGTTTTTTTGAGACAGGGTCTCACTATGTAGTTGAGACTGGCCTGGAGCTCACCATGTAGCCCAGATTGGTCTCGAACTCACAGCCATCCTCCTGCCTCAGCCTCCCAAGGGCTGGGATTACAGGTGTGCACCACCACACACAGCCCTAAACCAGAATTTTTAGAGGTAGGCATCAATCACCACCCAAAGCAAAAATTACAGAAGAATGCTTTGCTGCATCACCAGTAGGTAGATGGTAGAGAAAGAAATCTGCATGGCTCTTTGCCTTTTCATTATGCTAAGTGAGCCAGCATGCAATCAATCAGGCATTGTCCCTGGCCTTAGGAAACTCAGTCGCATGTGGGAGACACACTCAAGGTGGAGGTGAACTGCTATGCTTCCCTCGGCTCACAGACTGCATTTGCACTCTGGCTCCAGAGGAGGGAGCCCCAGGACTCTGAGGAAGGCGGTGCTCCAAGACACAACAGCATGGGCACGGCCTTCAGGGCCTGCCAGGGTGTGCCCTGTACTTTCACCTTCAGAGTCAACTGGGGAGGTGGGGGCAGAGATGAGAACTGGACAGGAATATTCTCCCATGAAGATTTTGCGGGCCACCTTAAAAACTTTGTAACAATTTTTTAAATGAGGGGAAAAGTGAGCTCTGTAGGTATTTCTCTATGGGAGAGACTCAAATGACCAGTGAAGACAAGAAGGGATACTTAGCATCATCAGCCTTTAGGAAAATGCATATCTAAACCACTTTAGATATACTGGAATGATGGTAACTTAAAGGACAATAGTAAAAAGATGTGCACCTCGTAATCCCAGAACTCTTGGAGGCTGAGGCAAAAGGATCACAAGTTCAAGTCCAATCTGACTTAGCTAGACCCTGTCTCAAAATGAAGACTGGGGATGCAGCTCAGTGAGAAAGCTGCGGGGTCAAGACCCAGTACCACAGCAAAGACAAAAATAAAAGGAGGGCCGGGGATTTAGCTCAGTGGTTCCAACGCCTGCCTCACAAGTGCAAGGGCCCGAGTTCAATCTCTGCCTCCCCCCGCCAAAAAAACCCACTGTTTGAATAATAAGAGTGGTGTAAAATAAATATTATATCCTTTCTCCCCTGAGTCCATGGATTCTTTGACTGGGCAATCTATTTCTACGAAATATGTGAAAAGCAGGAGGTAGAGACCTACGTGTGAGACTCATGTTTACTGTTTGGAACATATTAATACAGAATCCAAGTGCACCAATAGTAGAAAAATAGCATATGTACTTCTTCAGTGGAGTATTTGGCAAAAACAACATTTCTGAAACAGTTACTGACAAGGAAAATGTCCATACACTCTACACACACACCCGCGCTTCTTTGTTCAGAGTTTTAAAAAAAGACACATTTAACGTAACCCCAACTTGGCTTTTTAACGTGACTTACACCTGCACATGTGAGGCTGAAGCAAAAAGAGCACAGAAAGACAAGAGCAGAATTATTTCAATGTCAAGATCTGTCCCCATTCTCCAAATGGTCTATAGCATTCCTCTGTTACTTTTATACCTGGAAGCCAAACACCTAGCTGTGGCTTATACGATTTTTGTATTAGAAATGAAAATGGAAAAGGCACAGTGGTCCTCCTGTATCTCACCTGCTTAGGAGGCTGAGTCAGGGGGGTCACCTGTGCTGAGGAGTTTGAGGCCAGCCTAGGTAAAATAATGAGACACCTTTTCCAGTTTTTATTTTTTTAAAAAAGGCAAGAAGAAACAAGATGGTCTACATCAGGACTGTAAGCTATCCAACCTTGGGAACTTTTTTTTTTTTTTGGTACTGGGGATTGAACTCAGGATCTTGCATTTGCAAGGCAGGCACAATTTTACTGAGCTCAATCCCCAGGCCAGGGAACATCTTAGTAACTTGATAATGAAAACTTATTTACCAACTGTGTCCAGAAACATGGAAATTAAATTATTCCTGAGTACTGGGTGATGATTCATCTTAACCA